ACATAAACTTGTTATTATAGAATAAGTTTAAGTATTATACATTTAGTTTAGCATAGTAGAAAGAGCAAAGGCTTAAGAATCAAATTTCGATTCTTCTATTATACTTGTTTAAGGTGCTCTGGTAGCATAGTGGTTACGAATTGGGCTGCTAATGGCACGGTCAGAAGTTCAAAACTACCAGCTATTCCACAGGAGAAAGATGAGGCTTTCTGCTCCCGTAAAGACACTAAAGACCGAAGACCAGAAGAGTTGTGGGATGACATCAAGAACATCATACATGGAGAGAGCAAAAAGTCATTAAGAAGACAAGAAAGAAGGAAAACATCAAAATGGAGGTCAGAGGAGACGCTGAAACTTGCTCTCCAGCGTAGAGAAGCTAAAGCAAACGGAAGACTTGAAGAGGTCCAAGAGCTGAACAGAAAATTTCAAAGATCAGCTTGAGAAGATAAAATCAGGTACTATAATAAAATATGCAAAGATTTAGAACTAGAAAACCAAAAAGGAAGAACACAGCCAGCATTTCTCAAGCTGGGGGAACTGAAGTAAAAATTCAAGCCTCAACTTTAGTTATTGAAAGATTCTCTGGGCAAATTATTGAATGATGCAGAATGCATCAAGAGAAGATGGAAAGAATACACAGAGTCACTGTAGCAAAAGGAAATGGTTAATGTTCAACCATTTCAAGAGGTACCATATGAACAAGAGCCAATGATACTCAGGGAGGAAGTCCAAAGTGCATTGAAGGAATTGGCAAAGAACAAGGCACCAGGAATTGATGGAATAAAAATTGAAATCTTTCAAGAAAGTGAGGCAGCACAAGAGGCACTCACTCATCTCTGCCAAGAAATTTGGAAGACAACTATCTGGCCGACTGATTGGAAGAGATCCATATTTGTGCCCATTCCAAAGAGAGGTGACCCAACGGAATGTGGAAATCATCGGACAGTCTCTTTGATATCTCAAGCGAGTAAAGTTTTGCTAAAGGTAATACAGAAATGGCTACAATCATATATTGACAGAGAACTTTCAGAGGTTCAAGCTGGATTCAGAAGAGGCCGTGGAACGAGAGATATCATTGCCGATGTCCGGTAGATCTTGGCTGAACGCAGAGAATATCAGAAAGATGTTTACTTATGCTTTATTGACTACGCAAAGGCTTTTGATTGTGTGGATCATGACAAACTATGGACAACATTGAGAAGTATGAGTATTCCGGAACACTTAATTGTACTTCTGAGAAATCTGTACCTGGACCAAGAAGCAGTTGTTCGAACAGAGCATGGGAACACTGAATGTTTTAAAATTGGGAAAGGTTTGCAACAAGGTTGTGTTCTTTCACCATACTTATTCAACCTGTATGCTGAGCAAATAATACGAGAAGCTGGGTTCTATGAAGAAAAACGTGGCATCAGGATTGGAGGAAGACTCATTAACAACCTGCGATATGCAGATGATACAGCCTTGCTTGCTGAAAGTGAAGAGGACTTGAAACATTTACTGATGAAGATCAAAGAGCATAGCCTTCAGTATGGGTTGCATCTCAGTGTAAAGAAAACAAAAATCCTCACCACTGGACCAATAAACCGCATTCTTACCAACAGAGAAAAGATTGAAGTTGTCAAGGATTTCATTCTTCTTGGATCAACTATCAACACTCGTGGAAGCAGCAGTCAAGAGATCAGACGACGTATTGCATTGGGCAAATGTGCTGCACAGGAGCTTGCATGTAGTACTAATGATATAGTACCTGATGATTTCTGCATTCCATTGGGTCACCTTTGTTTGGAATAGGCACAAATATGGATCTCTTCTAATCAGTTTGGCCAGGTAACCATCTAGGCATAAATGAGTGAGTGCCTCCAGTGCTTATCAGTTTGTTGAAATATTTTCATTTGTGTTCCATCAATTTCTGGAGTCATTCTTTGCCAGTGCCCTCAGTGTACCTTGGATTTCTTCCTTTTTAGTCCCTTGACTCTTGATCATATGCTTCCTCTTGAAATGGTTGAACATCACCCATTTCTTTTTGGTACAGTCTTTATATGTTCTCCTGCAATCTTTTTTTTGATGCTTTTTGCATCATTCAATATTTTGCCCATAGAATATTTCATTATTGCAAGTTGAGGCTCGATTTTTTACTTCAATTCTTCTTTTTGTGCTTTTATGGTTTTATGTAGCATAATAAAACTTGAAAATGGGCTATCCATTCATATTCTTCACTTGTGTAACCTGGTATTGGGATTGGTGCCTGATGACCAGCTGTCTGTGCTTTCCACGAAGGCTTTTCAGTTCTTGGAGGAAACATTGTGTGCAGTCTGCACAGTAAGATTTGTTGCACACCGGCAGCGCTTCCATCTCTTTGACATTGTGGACCAGGAACTTGGGGAAGGTAATGATCAGCATATGTTTTGTTATCCTTTTGCTCCCATAACTATTGTTGGATCTGGCCCATAAATCTTTTCTGCCCAGTGTTGTCAGTGCTTTTGGATTTGAGACATTCATGGTTAATTTTGACATAACGGTCTGATTGATGCAGGATGAACTTCTTGGTCCTCTTTATGATGATCTTGGCCTTCACCAGGGGTCATGATGCCAGTGAGGTAGCTGTTTCCTCTGTAGGTATCACTGAGGTAGAGAGAAAGGAAGCTTTTTTATTCAGTTATTTCAGCTTGAGTTGAATATGTTCTTTCCTTTTAGTTTTCTAACTCTAGGTCTTTGCACATTTCATTATAATATTTGACTTTGTGTACTCGAGCTGCACTTTCAAATTTTGTGCTCAATTCTTTTACCTTCTTATTTTTTTCCATTTGCTTTAGCATTCTATAATGGAGAGCAAGTTTCAGAGTCTCTTCTTATGTCCATCTTGGTTTTTTCCTTCTTTCCTATTGTCTTAATGACCTTTTGCTGTCTTCCTGTATGATGTTCTTGATGTCATTCCACAAGTCTTCTGGTCTTCAGTTACTAGTGTCCAATACAGTATCCAAATCTGTTCTTCAGGTGATTTCCAAATTCAGGTGAGATACGTTCAAGGTCATATTTTGACTTCCATGGACTTGTTTTAATTTTTTCAGCATCAGCCTGCACTTCCTATGAGCAGTTGTTGATGTGTTCCACAGCCTGTCCCTTGCCTTGTTTTGACTGATGATATGGAGCTTTTCCACCATTTCTTTCCAAAGACCTAGTCAGTTTGATTTTTGTGTATTTCATCTGGTGAGGTCCATATGTATCGTTGTCTTTTAACCAAAGTATTTGAAACAAATAATGCTTTAGTCTTGCAAAATTCTGTCATGTGGTCTTCAGCATCGTTTCTGCCACCAAGACCATCTTTTCCAACTACTGATCCTTCCTCTTTGTTTTGAACTTTTGCATTCTAATCACCAATAATTAAAGATGTACCTTGATTGCATGTTTGTTCAATTTCAGACTGAAGAAGTTGGTAGAACTATTCAATTTTATCATTCCTAGCTGTAATGCTTGCTATATAAATTTGAATAGTAGTGGTATTAACTGATTTTCCTTATAGGCATATGGATATTATCTTATCACAGACAGCATTATACTTCAAAATAGATATTGAAATTTTCTTTTTGATGAATAATGTGATGCCATTTCTCTTCAATTTATTGTTTCTGGTGTAGTAAACCATCTGATTTTTGGATGTAAAATGGCCAATACCAGTCCATTTCAGCTCATTAATGCCTAGGATATCAATGTTTATGCATTCCATTTCATTTTTGACAACTTTGAATTTTCTAAGATTCATATTTCACACATTCCATTTTTCAATTTTTAATGGATATTTGCATCTGGTTCTCTTCTTTTTGGTTGCGACCCGACAGCAAATGAAGGTCCCAAAAGCTGTATTTATTCCATTGGCTTCATCATGATGAAAACTAAGGAGCTCGCTTTTCCCCAGTTGTATTTTGAGTGCCTTCCAACCCGAGAGGCTTAATCTTCTGTCATTATCTCTGACAATATTACTGTACTATGCATCATTTTTCAGTATTCAATGTTCTGATTCTATCTGATGGTGTTCACTGCTATTCATAAGGTTTTCAGTGGCTAAACATTCGAAAGTAGTCCGTCTTTCCTTTTTCCTTTTCTCTCTTAATCTGGAAGCTCAGCTGAATCCTGTCCACCATAGGTGATCCTGCTGATATTTAAAATACCCGTGGCATAGCTTCATGCGTCACAGCCAACATGCAAGCCACCACAGTATGATAAACTGACATGAGTGGTGGACTAAATAAAGCAATTACTATTAACACTAGCCAAAATGCCTTGATTAGTATGATGTATAAATATAGTACTTAGTGAAAGTTAACAAAAGCTTTAAGAACTTTTCAATAAGAAACAAGAAATCATATAATAATTAAGCGTTTCTTGATTTTGTTAAAGTGAAGTTTGATTCCTTTATGTGTAACTTTAATATCTGACTATTTACATGAATAAAGGAGCTCTGGTAGCATAGTGGTTATGAGTTGGGCTGCTAATCACCAAGTTCAGCAGTTAGAAACTACCAGCTGTTCCATGGGAGAAAGATGAGGCTTTCTGCTCCCATAAAGATTTACAGCCTCGGAAACCCTATACAGGGTTGCTGTGAGTTGGAACCAACTCCATGGCACATAAGCACCAACCACCACCACCACTTACATGGATTAACTAAATTGTTGTATTGAGAAAATGGAAAAATGGCTTTTTATGCTTTTTACAAAATTTTGTAAATTGAACAGTTGAACATTCTTGTTTTATTTCAGATCTGTCATCAACAATATGATCAGCAGAGAGAGCTACTCTAATGGTGAAGGGAAGTTATTTTTAAGGATTCATTCACAAGGTTGGCCTAGTGAATGAATCCTGTTTTCTTCCCAAGGTTCTAGAATACTTGCTATCATGAAAAGAGCTACATTTGTGCTGCAATTCTTTGTCCCCATCCCAAGGAATTTGAAGATACTTTGTAAATTACAGTAACTTGATTTCCTTGTTTTCTTTCCACATCTTAGAGAGGAGAGATTGAATTTGAAGTAGTTTATGTGGCTCCTGAGGTGGATTCCGATGATGAAAATGTAGAATATGAAGATGAGAGTGGACATCGTTACCGCTTGTACCTTGATGAGCTAGAGGGAAGTGGTAATCCAGGTGCTAGTTGTAAAGACACAAGTGGGGAACTCAAAGTGTTACAAGGTAAAATGATCACTCTAAAATTTATTACTAACGGATTTATTATGAGTAAATGTTTAAATATAAAACTTACATGCTCTCCGCTAACACTATTTTAATGACTGGGAAGCCAAAGGAACGAATAGCTCTCCCTTATTGTTTTATTATACAACGGTACTGAAAAAACTTGTTTATACATAGAAGTTTTTTAGATTTATCTTGGACTTTTAAGAAAAATACGTTACCAATTACTGGACTAGAATTATTTTGAAGAATAAATAAAACTCAAGTTTTTTAAACTCTAAAATAAACAAAATGCTTTTTAGAATAAATATATCTGAGCATGGTCTCTGTCTTAATATCAATTCTCTTATAATAAAATATTTTTGTTGTTAACTGCCATTGATATTAGCTAATGAAAAATAGAGTTTTATTAAATGTGTTAATTTTGTTAACGCTTCCTAGTTTTGTTATTTTATAGCCAAGTAATGTTTTGAAAATTTCTGTTTTAATGGCTCATATGGCAAACATCAATAGTGATAACCACTTAAATCATCTCAGCACTTAGTAAGCATGTAAAGGCATCCTGAAACCAAAACTTTTGAGAACTTCTGACATAAAGAGTTTTATGGTGAATTAATTAATTGCTGCTCTCCTGGTCAACCTGTGCGTTTTTAATTAACGACAGTAGTAACAGTTATTTTTTGTTCCATGTGTCTTGAACAAAACTGTCACAAAATGTTAAACCTTAAATTGTTGGACTCTTCTGGTTTCATTTTCTTGCCCCTTCCTTTTATATTCTATCAGACATAGAAGGCTTATCCCATCCCGTTTTATACCTTAGACTAGATGCTTTTCTCTGTCACCTTTGCAAGTTTGCAGATGGTGATAATCAGAGTGAATGAAAAAATCAAAAGTGATACATTAACTGACTTCAATACATTAAATACAGTCATTTGTTATTGCTTAGTGCGTGTCCTTCATAGCTCATGTCTTAGGCTGGGTTCACTAGAAAAGCAAAACCAGTGAAACATATATGTGTGTTGTGGTTTATATCCAAGGAATGGCTTGACAGTTGTTTATTGTTAAATGCTGTGGAATCAGTTCCTAGGAGCAGCTGGTAGGTTTGAACCACAGGCCTTGTGATCCAGCGCATTATCCTGCAGTGCCACACCAGGACGCTGCACACAGTTGTAGAGGTGGGAAAGTCCCAAGTCCATTGATCAGATATCAGACTGGAAGCTTCTGACCTCTGACATATAGCTGCAGGGCTGATGAACCAAAGTTGCCAGGACATGTAGGTTGGTGGAGCGAGATGAACAGCAGCTAACAACTCCCATGATTGGCAGGCAGTAGAGCAAGTTACTGGCTCAATTCCAAAGAACCAAAGATTGGATGATGAAAAACAAGATGTAGAACCCAGACCCCACAGGAAGCTAGCAAGCTTTGCTTTAAGTTTCAATATATTGGAAGCAGTTTTCCCAAGGAAACTTCCTTTCAATTGGTTGGTTACCAACACAGATCTCATTGTGGGGGATTACCATGTCTTAACTGCCAAACCACTGAGCCTGCTGGCCCAGTCAAGTTGATACGAAGCCGTAACTGTCACACTCACTGATAGGGACCCAGTCTGCTGTTAGTTATTTGCAAGCCTATTATCTGTACTGTACAGCGGACTGAAACGCAGCACCAACTCTGAGGATGGTGTGGGACTTGGTAGCACTTCCTTCTGCTCTGCAACAGGCGGCTGTGAGTCAGAACCTTCTCAAAGCCCCTAACAACAGATAGCCAAAACCAGGCTTCAGTTTAGCTAGATGTAAATTAGTGATCAATCATTATGTATCCCAGTGAATTGAAGTTAAATATATCAGAATAAAAATAGGTGGAAAACACAAATTACAGTTCAAAAGAAATTTGTGTAAGTAGAATGAATGAGTGAATTTTATAATTGTGTGTATTAATTCTCCGTCTCATATAGTACTTTGTAAGACATTTTATCTAATTTTGGGTGCATACAATAGATATTGGAGTCCTGGTGTAGCGCTGCAGGTTAATGTGCTGGACTGCAAAGTTGGTTTGAACCTCAAGGTTTTGGTGGGGTTCAAGATTACCAGCTGTTTCTCAGAAACCCTATACAGGGTTGCCGTGAGTCAGAACTGACTTTGACAGCGCTTAACAACAACAGCAAAACAATATATATTTGAGTCCTGGTGTGGCACTGTGGATTAGCACTAGACTGTTAACTGCCAGTTGGCAGTTCAAACCCACCAGCTACTCAGAAACCTTGTACAGGGTTGCTGAGTCAGAACCAATGCCATGGCACTTAACAACAGGTACAACAGTATTATTTTTTTAATCGTACAATGTGTGATAACTGATATAAGAATTCCTTTGTCTGGAATTGCTAACCTGGTTTAAGTAGTGTCCTGTACCATGCCTTGCCTTACTTTTATTAATTACAGTGGCCATTCCAGTGTTTCTTGTGCAATAACATTGTATGACTAAGGTTTTTTCCTCTTTTACTAGGACTGCTTTTGTTTTTTTCTTTCAGGATTTAGTAAGAAGACAGTAACTGATACACATGAGAATGGAGACCTGGGAACTTCGAGTGAAACTCCCATAGATGCTAGTGATTCTAAATTCGATGGCTTGCACAGTCTGTGTCATACAAGTTCTTATTAAACTGACAGTATCTCCAGACAAGATTGTTAATCAGACTGTTCTGAATGGAGAAGATGGTGACAAAGACTATATATGAGTTCAAGTGAGGCTGTTTTTTGCCTAAATGAAAGATGGTACCTCAGGGCTTCATATGAACAGTTCATTCTAAATGCATAATCCCCTTGTTTTTGGTGGTATTCATGATTAACTATTGCATGTAAAGCAGTTTTGATTTTCTTAAAATTGTAAGCACCAAAGCATGTGTTTCCCAAAGGGGTATTACTAGGTTCTTAAGTACCAAATGAAGCACTGCTGTTTTATTTGGTACCTTTTCCAATGATTAAAAAGACATTGTAAACTGGAATTTTATAAGAAATAACCTTTAAATACAAGAAAGTAAATGAGTCCATATGATATATTCCAGAAATGTTAAATGTGATGTTTCAGAGAGTGGAAATTGACTCAGTGGATTACAGAAATGTAGGTTTGACTTAATTTCGTTTTTAAGTGAAAGAATTTTTTTTTTTTTACTGTATATTTTGATGTCTAAATCAGTTCTTAATGATCATTATTGTAAAGAGTTTTTCTTTCAGCTTTATCGACTGCAGTATAAATAGTTTTCTTTAAGCAATCCTGTATCAATCATTGCTGTACTATAAATAGTTTCTGAGAAGTTCTTGCACATTTACTTTTGGTTTTTAAAAGAAATGCATTTGAGTGTGAAGTCTCCTTTCTGAATTATGTTACTTTGTACATGGTACTAGAACGTTACAATAGTAATAGTCTCAGAGGCTTATTTTCTGTGATGCACAGAAGAAAGTCTTGTACCTTTTGAGTTGTTCATAAAGTTTGTTTTGTGTTAATACTGGCACTTAGAGAAACATTTTTTAAATGAAAGCTCAAATTTATTACTATGTCACAAAATATACTGTATTTAAATAGCAGTTTTAAAGTAACTGATTTGCCAATTATCTAAGAAGATAGGGACAAAGGTGGGCAAGATGCAGTGAAAACTTTTCCATACATGTTACTGTATGTTTGGCTAAAGTACTCTTCATATGGAAACGTTACCAATTTGTGAGTTCTCTTATCCCAGGACTGAGCTTGGATTACCTGCTGTCTTGTTTACTGTTCCTCAGGCCACTGTACCCTGCTGGACCAAGTCACAGTGTTGCATTTAAAGAGGAGGTAGCCTTGCAAGTATCACTGTTTTGAAGGATATGCATTTAAAGGAATAATATGTGGGGAAAAGCCTTTTAAAAGGCTTCTAGAATATTATCAGTATCTTCCACTGCTAGTATTGTCGTTTTGTGATATAAAAAACATTTTCTTGTCTTTCCCAGATGCACTATATATTTGTTCATAGATAAAATCTATGAAATGTATATACTTTATTTGGTGATTTAGCTATTTATAAACTCTCTGTTTTAAGTATTGCTCATTTATGGTTTGTTTTGATTACTTTTGTTCATCTGTATATCACAATGTTAATTTGTAATAGAAGTACACTTCATGGTGTATATTGTATATATTAAAATACTTTCTAGCATAACCTTGCCTCTAAGCAAGCTAGTATTTTATTGTACAACTGAATAAGCAAGTTTCATGTTATTATTTGTTTTGGCAGGCTAGACCTCTTAAAAGAAAAAGAAAAAATTGTTCATGCATTCTCTCTATTCCTACACATAATCTCACATTTGATCTGAGATCTATAAACAGGGTTATTGGGTAGTGTATTCATTTATAGAAGAAATTCCCCTTGTGGCAGGCCTTTGCTATACCTTCATCACAATGTACAGTCTGGAATGCGATGACACATGTTTATGTTTTTCCAAAGACTATTCTCGATCAGCTATGACAAAATCTTTAGGAATTAAGAGCTAAAATATTTTCATTTTCAAGAAACATCTAGTAAGTCTATAAAGTGGTATTTTCTTGGAGCCTTGAATTGGTATCTTTGTGAGACTGCTGTGTAATTATGTGGAATGCAAATGCCAGTGATTCCTTTCAAGGACTGATAAACAGAATGAAAATCTTTCAAGCAGTTTAAAATTCTACAGGTCAGATCCCTTTTCCTTTCTGCGTCTCCTTAATGTCCCAGACTGTATTGGAGCATTGCTCAGATGTTGCTGTGAGCTTTCTGTCAGATGTTTTGGAAAGTACCCAGTTACAAGTTCATTTTAGAGTATATGGTCTTTCAGGTATTAACTAAGAACTAATAATAAGACTTTTTAACCAAAGGATTGAATGAGAAGCAGTTTTTATATTTCACATGTAGAAGGGGGAACAAATCCATCATGTGTAACATTTAAGCTTCTAGAACAAAACCAAAATAAGCAAGAAACTATTGCAAAGCCATTATGATTAAAAAAAGAAAAATACACATATGTACACACAAACAGAATAGTTGAGAAAATGTTCAACAGAATGTGAGGGTTGTATGTCTGAGAGCATATTATATATTCATACCTTGATCTTTGTTACAGATATGATAAAAATGACATTTGGGTTATATGAATATTGCTAAAATAGATTTAAGAAAGATGAACTTTTTCTGAGTCTTGGTTAATTATAACTGAACAAGTATCCAAAGTTGGCACAGCTTGTCCTTGGTGCTGGTTTGCTTCCCGCCACAGTGGACGTTGACCTTTTTGCTTTGTTTTTATATTTAGAAACAAAAAAAGGTATATTGATTTCATGTGTATGTTGAACATTATTTGACATCCTTATTTTATTATGTAATCGGCTTCCACCTATCGAGTCTTCCACTTAGGGTCGGCCTCAAATTTATAGGAGTTATGACAATTGTATATCTACTTAGGTTGAGTTTGATATTTTTTTATTCGCCTGTAAATAAAGATGGCATCTTCTATATTAAAATGATATTGAAGTCATTTTTTAAAAATAAATACTTTGTGTTTCTTTCACATTAAGTATTTTTGGCTTATTATTTCACTGTAATATTTTCTAGTATTTATACCTACATGTCACAAAGCCCTGATACTATGGTGAATATAGATGTTCACATGTACGAGGCGTTTAGACAAGCTTGTAGAGAAATGGAATGAAAAGAATATAGAATTTCTCCACAAACTTTTTGAAGTCCCTACCCCCTGTGTGTTTGAGAGCGAGTAAGACTAAAAAATCTTAGAAAGCTTCATTAAACAAAAATATCAAAATATGAGCCTATTATTTCTTGACATTTCGTCCAGGTGCTCTGATCTATATACTACATCAAAACAGCAGTTTGGGGCATTCTCGGGGGACTCAAATCATGGTCCTTTTCAAGGTTCTTTGAGTTTAAGGAACAAAAAGACGTATTAGGGCAAGATCAGGACTGTAGGGTAGTAGATAGGTTAAGGTTTCTCAACAGAATTTTCATAGGACAGCCCTTCCTACACCTAGAAAAATGAGCAGGCACATTGTTGTGATAGGAAAACAAATCCCCAAGGCAACCTTCCCGGGCCTTTTCTCATGAATGCAGTTCTTAAACTTTCTTCATGATAAGCCCCTGTGATCATCCTGTGTATGGTGAGAAAATGATCCAGATGACTCACTTGGTATCCCGCAAAAGAGCCACCATACCTTTCTGCCTCTGCCCTGTAGATTCACTCAGAAGCCAGTTTCTTGGAGCTTTTTTTCGAAGGCACCCTAACGAGACCAAAATAAGTGTATTGCTGAGAGAACTTGTCTGCAGCTTTCCAATGATTGCAGAGACATGTTTGAACACATTTTGTTTAGAATAAACCTGTACATGTACGAACTGAAACCCTAGTAGCAATATTTTTTGACTTATCCTCATGATTCAGTAGATGCATGTGGGAACTACCTATTTGATATTAGGTACTGGTGAATCTGAGTTTAACAAAGACATGTTGGAAGGAACTGCCAGAGCAATTTTTGCTGAAACTTAGCAGATGGGGAAAACCCTGGTCTCCTTGGCTTCGCTGTGTTACATTGACAACCGAATGTTCTTGATAAGGATGATATTGATAAATAATAGAAAACAAACACTGACTCTATCTAAGGGAAAATATTCTTCCATTTGAAATCTAAACATACATACTTCAGGAAAATCATGCTTAATTTTTAAAAATACTTGTTTAATCCATTTTTAAGTTGCTTTGCTTCAGAAGTTTGACCACATAAGACCTATGACCACATAAGATAGTTAATTTAAGATTATGTGTGGGATGCTTTTTTTGTATTAAGGTTATTTGAGAGTCATCAAGAAGATTAAGTTACAGAATGATAGTTTATTCTAAGAATATAAATCATTGTAGACAATGAGTTTAATTATGAACATTTAGAAATAGTTTTTACCATTGAATAATCCTGTTTCAGTGCTTATGGTTGTATGCTTATCGTATGTTGATTTACATTTCTGATTCACCAAGTCATCTGTGGGGGAAACAGTCCTTTTTCATAGGATTTGTCTGTACAGAATATTGTTGGGTTTATGAAATTTAAAAAATGATGTGCATATTCTTGGCTGATCAGTGCCCTATTTTAGAAGGTTTCTAAATGGTGTTATAAAGTAATCTGCCAGGTATAGTCTGAGAGCCATAACCACTGTCATGGTAGCCATAGAACGTGCTCCCAGCTCTCCCACTGCAGGTCCCAGCTGCTGTGCTCTGAAGGCCACCCCTGCACCCCTACACTATGGCCACACTTCCCATAGGCTGCTCTCAGTCTATGACTGTCACAGGGATATGATGACCTCACAACCTGAGCTCAAAGTGTCCTTGAGGACCTTGCCAAATTCCCTTTGGGTTTCATTGGAATCTAAGATGCTTCCCCCCCAGGCTTCCTCCCTGTGATCAGTTGGAGTCGTACCTGCATTATGGTCTGATTGTTCACCCGGGCTTCTCCCCTATTTCCCCATGCCCAGCATTGCCCTAATAAATTGACTGCACAGGTAATCCTATCATGATCTTGGAGTCTGCTTGGAAGACCGGGAAAAGGGCAAGTGGTGAAATGCGGACTGGGAATTGGCTCATCTCTCACCCACAATGTGAACAGGAAAACATCCTCGTTGAAAAATGAAGTGC